TTGTTTTACTCTTTTCACTAATTAATTTAATCATTTACATCCTGATCAGAACTTCCCCTCCCTCCTCTCCTCCTAGTCCTTCCCCTTCATCTCCCCTATCCTCCCTCTCTTTCTCCTCAGAGGAGTGAAGACCTCTCATGATTATCAACTGTCCTTGGCATATCAAGAGAATAGGCAAGGCTGTCCAGTCAGGGGAAAGGGATCCAAAGGCAGCAACAGAGACAGCGACAGCCCCTGTTCCCGCTGTTAGAGGTCCCACGTGAGGACCAAGCTGTGCATCTGTTACATATGTATAAGGGACCTACATGAGTCCCGTGAATGCTCTCTGGCTGCTGGTTCAGTCTCTGTGAGCCCCGATAGGCCCAGGTTAGTTGAGTCAGTAGGTTTTCTGATCCAGAGAATATCCTTACACCTTCTCATTGCTAAAAGTTTCCATTGCCAGCTCCTGGACATCAAGTAAGGAAATATCTGATGCTAAGCCACAGGTCACTGTCAGCACTTGTGGTGCAACAGGTGTAGGGCGAAAGCTTGATCTCTTCCCTTCAACTCCTTTAAAGCGCTAAAAGCTGCTCAGACTCTTCACTGTGTCAGAGGACAGGACTTCTTCTCAGGAGTCCTATTTCTCTGGGCTTCACAGCTCTGGCTTCTCCTCCCCTGGTGCTTAATGCAGAGCCACTTGCCAGATCATTGCTCAGTGGATATAGACCATGGATGGACCACCCATTCGTTATGTGAATGTTCCCCTTCGCTCACTTCAAACCTGTCTTTCTTGGGATACCATTTGTGACCAGCCCAACTCTCCCAACATCCTTCTTCACTACACATGTCCTGTCACCTCTGTTTCATCTTAGGAACGTGTTCTTCCAGATACCTAACTCCATAAGAACAAGGAAGGTGCCTTATGTTGTCTGCCTTTTGAGCTCACAGACCAAAGACCATATTCCTCAAATGAGTCTCCTCTCAAAAATTCATCCTTCCTACCATTTCCCAACTTTTCTATGTAAAGATCTGTGCTGTCAGTTAGCGGTCAGCATAGATGGATGACTGAATCGCAAGGAAATAACCCAAAGTCACAGGGACTTAGACTAGTAAACAGCAATCTGATCACGTGGACCATTTCAACAAGACACAGATGACTATAAAACTGTCATAGATGTACTAAAAAAGCTCTCTGGATACACAGAGATCCTACTTCTAATGCCCTGGACTAGGGACAAGAAACATTCTGAAATGATTGTGTTGCAAATTTTTCAAAAGGCAGATGTTTCACCTGTGATTTCTATTCAGACTCTCACTGTATCACATTTTCCTCCTACACTGACCCCAGGCTTTTGTGAGCTCTGGCACTAGAGAAATTGGATAGAGTTGTGTTTATGAGATATACTCTATGTGACTTGGGGCCATTTCACATACACCTAAAGTATTGCTTGCCATCTGTGAGAAGGAATGGCTCCCAGAAATATTCCTAACATAGAAAGGGATAATTCCACCAAACATTGTGACATGAAGGGTATCAGATCCGCCATCACAATCATGTTAGCACATTCTCTGCCTCTCAAAACTTCAAGCACAAAGCAGGAGAGAGCAGAGCTATCCTATATAGGATTTCCAAGCCACCAGCCATGTAAAATGTAAATATGAAATTGGCCTTTCAGTGATGCTCAGTCAACCCAAAGTTCTCTCTGGAAAAGAATGTACCCACTATTACAGCAACAGCATTTGTAAATGAAACATGCATTTTTTTCTATTATTCATCAGAATCTCACAGAAGTTATTATTCCAAGTTCTTATGTTTATAAAGCACAAAATCATAACAATACTACAAGTATCAGAACTGTAATAATTCAAACATGAAAGAAATTGTGTGACAGCTCCCTACTAGAATGGAAATTAAATTAAAAGAAACGGTATAAGATTTAATAAATAAGAGTTTGAGTAACTAAAAACTTTCACTTGAACACATAAAAACTGATTTATGTCTTTACTATCCAAGTAGAAGATAAGATTCTAAACCTGTTGCCAAAAATTAAAAAAAAAGAAGTGATTAAAGAATATACAATCAGAAATTAGTGGAAAGGTGTTGTGAAGGCATACTGGGTAGTTAATATACCATCTTTCTGGATGTTTTCAAATTTGAAAGGTTCTACTTTCTCCTAACCTCCTCTGTGTGTGTGAGTGTGTGTATGTATGTGCATGGGTTCAGGACAGCTTCAGGAGCTGGTCCTTACCTTCCGCTCTAAGACAGTCTGTTGTTTTCTCTCTAGCTGGATCATGACTGTGGGGATTCTCCTGTCTAGTCTGCAATCTTGCCCTACAGCTATTACTTGGTTTCTGAGAATTTGAACCCAAGCTTTATCACAAACTATATACCCATTGAATCACCTTCCCAGTACCTACATTTGAGAATTATTAACATTTTATTTACAAAAAGAATATTTGGTTTTCACATCTAGTAAAATCTTTTTCCTCTTTTTCTCAAAGAAATTATCCCCTGACAGTATTTGTATGTGTGTGTGTGTGTGTGTTTGTGTGTGTGTGTGTGTGTGTGTGTGTAGTACATATTAGCCTCTAACCACCAAGATGCAGAAACAAAAATTTTCCTTGCCAGTTATAAGGAGGTTATTAACATGTCAGCAAAATTTTATATCGCAGCCTGCAGGAGATGAACAAGTTTGTCTCCTTTTAACTGTCTGTATTAAAGTCTGTATTAAAGGGCAGGTAATCACTGTCCTTGATGGCTTTCATTGGTCTCTGTTGTGCCTTTTATTACTGTGATACTCGATAATAAGAGCTTTGGGATGTACAGGGGCAAGGTAATGGGGCATTTTAAAGGTGAGTGGAGAGTCATCACATTAGTTCAATGTCTGCAGTGCTGACTGGGTGGTATTAAAACCCCTGAGCGCTAACGGATATTGAGCCAGTTTTCCAAGGTCAACATTCCAATTACTGTGTGAATCCTCAAATGGTTCTAGATCATGAGCCATTTCTGACATCCATCTACTGTGCTTGCATTGCATTTTATCTGCACAAATGGACACATGCCCCGTGGCTCCCAATTTTCCCATCAGGGTGTCCCAAGGAAACAGAGCTTGAAAGAAAATGAAGGAACACCTCAGGGCCTTTTTTCTCTTCTTCAATCTGAACAAGTACCTACTATACCATAGTAGGTAAGCATGTGAACCTGTTGTTGGAGATTTTTGTGTGTTATTATTTGTCCTATGATTATTATTGCACTGGTATTATTTAACTCACTATCACAATCAAATAAGACACAGATACCGTTTAGATTTTACAATTGCCTTATTTACCTTGCGCTGGGCAGATATTCTACCTACACTGTCTTAATAACTTCATCATCCACCTCCCAGCCTCTATCCAGTGCCATTCATATTAACCATCCTCATATGGGCTACCTTTCATCCATAATCTTATGAATACTTGCTTATAGTTGGTGTTTTTTCCATCCACACCATCCTTGGAGTCCTTCCTCCCAGCCCACAAGGTTTCTTCTCTTTGCTAACCCATCCTCCTTCCTTCTCTCTCCCCATTATTATCTGGAATCCAAAGCCCTGGAACCTTTGCTACACCTACATCATTCTGCATTGCCCAGGTTTCTGCACTGCCCAGGTTTTAAGCCTTTAATAGGCAGGTTTTCACAACAAGGATAGGATCATCCAGGAAGTGATCAGATCTTGAGGACAGTAATTAGCATCAAAATACAAGCATCAGACCAACCCCCAACATGAGCCCATGAAGCTTGAGGAAATTTCTCATCTGGAAGCAAAGTTGGAGTGATCTGCTTTATGCTCCAGCAGAGAATAAGCCATGCTAGCTTCTAAGGCTTTCACTTACAGACTGTTGTTGTGTTTGGGTTATTTGATTATTGTTGTTGTTTTGTTTGGAGGTTTGTTGTTGTTGTTATCTCAAAAGTAAAAGAGTTGATTCTGAGAAACTCTGACCTTATACAAAACCACCTGAAATCAGAAGGCTGCCCGAATCTTCAGGCATCTAAGGTCACACATCTTACTAAAATTCTGATGATGTTCTCTATTTTACATATTCAAATCTAGTAGTTAAGAATAAAAGCATTTCGAGAATTTCAATGAACATAAAGCCTTATTCATGTCTTCTCATTTCATATAATCATTCTGTGACTTTATTTCTAACATATTATTTTCTCCTAGCCTGGGTTATAGACAGATCTTTTCTCTGTTACTGGACAATGTGTTTCATCTCCAAGTACTACTCCCACTGTCTGAACATCTACCTCATTTCTGCTGAACAGAATCTTTCAAATTTTCATGAATCTGATCTACCTTCCTGAAATTTTTTTCTTAATCTTCCCTCCAATCCATCCCTTTGCTCATAGTATTTATCTATCTGGATGCTATGTTTGAAATTTGACATTTTACTTGGAATGAGCCATTTCATTGCTGCTTGAAAATAATATTTAATAATGTACCCATTAGTTTGAACTTACTGATTGAGGCATTTATCTATGGTGAACAACCAAAAAGCAACTTTTATAAAACTAGAAAGATTATAATAAACTCAAATACCCAGTCAGGCAGAAACCCATTAGGACACACACTAGTAGGAAAAATGGAGAAAGATACTCATGATTATAAGCAGAGGCTCAGAGCATTACAAGTATCTTTATTGTATTTCTTTTTCTTTTATATTTCATGAGCGTCAGTAATAACATAAACCTGAAGATTTTTGTGGTGACTTGAAAGAAATTGGGAATTGTTTGACCATGTTGGCCGATAAAAGGAGGAAGGTATTTGCCATGACAGTTGGGACACATGAGAAGAGGGTTGGAAATCTGTGGAGGGGCCCAAAGTGACATGATAGTCTCTATGTCAAGCTATATAAAACTCCTAAGGCTTTAAAACTATTTCTGTGACTTTTTTAGTTTGATTTAGTTTAGGTTCCCCCCCCCCATAAGGATGGATAGATTCTTCACATAGTTGACTGTTTTGCTTTTTTTTTTTTCCCAGATCTGCTTTGTGAACCTGGATGTAAACAAGGATGTTTGCAGCACAGAACACTTGCAGCAGGTAACAGCTGGACCTGGGGCCCTCCAGGAGCCTGTGAAGAAGGCTGGACTCTGTCTGTGATGCTCTTCTGTAGAAGGGTAGATGGTGTCATCACTGACCTTTCCCTGCAGCTTTTCTTGCTGTTGTTCCATTACATGTTTGAAAGTCACATTTCCCTGCCTACAAAACTGATCAGGAAGACATCTCCTCTTACCCAGCAGCATCCTAAAGTGGATATTCACACCACAATCTGGCAAGCTTTTTCCACCGTATCTTATAACCAAAGTGAAGGCAGCCAGCCCTTTCCTCTGGTTATTGGGATTACTCCTGCCCATTCTTTCCATCAAATTGCATCTGAACTGTGCACCCATCCATTGTCATACCCTTATCATGAGCTTGAACATTTTGCATCTCATGACAGCTAACTTCCAGCAAGGTCATCCAAAATCGATCCTGGTGTAAATCCTTGACTGCATTGAGCACTTATATGACTGTTTAGTTCTTTAGAGGCTGAGCATGCCTATGGTACAATGGCAAGAATCAAGTAATGTCACAGTTTATCATTGCACCACCAAAGCTGAGAGGTTTTACCTCATTGGCTATAACGGCATGATCTTTACAGTTGGATCATCACACAATACACAAATGCTTCTCTTAACTGATACTGGGTACTCAGGTAATCAGCACCCACTCACAGCAGGCACAGAACTTGAGATTTCTGAGTGCTCCTATCATAGTTTTTTTGTAGTGTAGCTGAATGAAGCTCCTCAACCTATTATTCATAGGGTTGCACAGTATGAACTTTCACCCTATGCCAAATATTTTCCTCTGTATGACACTAGAGATTTCAAAGGAAATTGTGCAAACAATTTTATTCAATGGAGTAATAACATTGAATGATGAGTAGAGTCCATCAGAAAAAGAACAGAAATGATGGAAGCATATTCCCATCATAGTAACTGAATAATTTATGGAGTGATTTAAGAGAGTTTCCAGTTATGGCTTAGCTCATATAAACTGATATGATCTGTGCAAGTTACTACTTTCTATGTCATAGGATTATATGTGTATGTACATATATATACATATATATAAGTAATTATGGCATATCAATCACATAGGTTTCAGTTAAGGATGAAATAAAATAGGATGTCACATATATAGGCTTTACCAAAGTGCTTAGAACATAGTCAAAGTCAAATTAGTATTAGATATAATTTTATTATTGAGTTTATTGGAAGAGAATATTACTAGCAAGTAGTTTTTTATTCAAGTTTTAAGAAGAAAATTTTTTTCAAACTAGTGATTATTTTTATTGTGTGATATTAATTGCCAAATGTTCACTTTGGAAAATTTAAAACCAAGGAGGTTTTTTTTTTTAAAAAAAAATATTTTTTTTATTCCAATCTTGATTCTTTTTACATTATTGAATGGTTTATTATTTTTATGTGCATTGGTGTTTTGCCTGTGTGCATGTCTGTGTGAGGGTGTCAAATCACATGGAGCTGGATAACAGCCATCTGTGAGCTGCCCTGTGGGTGCTGGGAATTGAACTCAGGTCTTCTGGAAGAAGAGCCAGTGCCTGTAACCACTGAGCCATCTCTCCAGCAACCCCTCCCCCACCTTAATTCTTATTATTTAATTTAAAAGTTTTTTTTCATATTTTAAGGATTTTTAATTTTTTTGAGATTATAATATAATTATATCATTTCCTACCTTTCCTCTCATTCTGACTCCTCCCGTGTAGATCCCCCTCTTCTCATTCAAATTTATGATCTCTTTCTGTGTATGTGTGTGTGTATGTGTGTGTGTTTCAGGGCTGACCATTTGGTATTGGATAGTTGTGCTTTTGCCTGGAGAAGACCATTTCTCCTGCTCTCAGCAACCCTTAGTTGCCTGTAGTACACCATCAGAAAGTTGAGGCCTCCTGAGCTTTCTGCACTCCATGCGAGCATACTTATTGCTGTCATCCTTGCTCGGGTCTTGCTTAGGCAGCCATGATAGTGAGACTTCACGGGTGTGCCTTCTCTGACATTTTTAGAAGAAATAATCTCACAGCAAACTTCTCATTCCTCTGCCTCCCACAATTTTTCTGCCTTCTTCAACAATGATGCCTGAATTGTGGGTGCAGGAGTTGTGTTGTAGAGAACTGTAGACTGAGCAGATTATATATCTATAGCCTAAATCATAAATAATTTTTACAGATGAAACAGATTGGATGTGCTATTTTAGAAGTGTAAAGAGGTCCTTTGAACTAATAAGATCTTACCCCACAGAAACTGGTCAGCGTTTCACCAGACCTTCCAAAGCTCATCAACTCCATGAATGTCCAACATCCGAAAGAAAATGAAATTGTCCTCCTGAGTGGGCTAGCCTCTGGAAACCTCCAGGCAGATTTTGATGTTTCACAGGTGAGGAACACAGTTCTTGAGCAACAGTTCACCGAGGGCAGGCAGTGGTACTCAACCTGTGGGTCGTGACCCCTTCAGCAAACATCTATGTCTAAAAATGTTTACATTATAATTTATAACTGTAGCAAAAATCACAGTTATAAAGTAGCAATAAAAATAATTTCATGGTTTGGGGGGGTAGTCACCAGGACATGAGGAACTTAGTGGTAAGTTTTCCATAGTCAGAGAGAGATGAGCCCAAGCCAAATGTTACACATGAGCTTTAGCAAAAGAGCCAACAATGATTCTGTATGTGATACTGAGCCAACAATGATTCTGTATGTGGCACTAGCTTTATCTCTGGTCATCCTTGAAAATAACAGAAGCCCAGAAAGCCGGACTTTACTCAGCCTGGACTTCAGAGATTTGGTGCAGACCTTTATCTCATCTATTAGAATATTTTAATTGAGACATCAATATGATACTCTTCATTAGTGAGGAATGAAGATTCCTGGGTGGGAGGTATTAAGAAATGGATCTAAGTTCTAAGGACCTTTGTATTCTGCAAAATAATGATGATCAGAAAATAATTTCAAGTCTGAAATTTGTAGCTATTTCTACACCAGGCATATTTTTCCTCTGTCTCTGTACCCAAGAATGAGCTTCCATTCGGTTAAAGGTTCTTTTTTTTTTTTTTAAACCTATGGAGGACTTTCTAAATATAGCAGAGTAAGACCCAAATAGTTCAGGAAGCCAAACCCCAAGTGGACAGCAAGCCCTGTTTACCAACCCTTGGCCTTTCTACGCATCTGCACATGTGTGCAATCCTTTTTGTCAATAAAACAAGAATCTCGTAGCACACAGTAACTGGTATCTTGTCAGCCATAGAAACAATATTTCTGAAGAGACACCATTTGGGATTTGAAGCTAAAGGATTTGGATCTCTCTGAGCCTGCACTTACCCGTCTATGAAGCAAAATACATTTATTTCTACTTTAAAGTTTCAACTTGAGAAATGAAATTGGTAAAAAAAAAAAAAAAAAACACATTGTTCAAAACAAACGTTAGGGTTTTTCAGAAGAAAATAAGAGGACAAAATTGTAAGAAATCCAACATCCTACAAAAATGGAAACCATTTTTTCTCTCAAACATCCTCTTTAAGATGAGTTATTTTAGATTAAAATTGCAACATTTATAATAATAACCTTTTAAACAGTATCATAACTCAGTGCATAGGAAAGCTCTACTGCTTAGCAACCACCTAGTCTTGACTCTGAAGCTAATGAGGCTTATGCACTATAAATTTTACATGAATTCTGTATAAATCGTATGCTATGGTTTTAAATAAATATTGAAAACTTTATTCCTATCAACTTTATAATACTAGACCTTTTTTTTTTTTCTGATGTGCTCAGCTGTAGATAACACGGGGAAGTTGCAGGTACTCTTGGGAGGTCCCAATTTCCTTCTCATGCCTCCATGATAATTGATACTGACATTGATTAGACCTGGCCTTGAATGGAACTTGGAAGACTCTGACTGACCTTAGTTAAAATTCTTAGTTAAACATGACCGAAAATAGACTTAAGCACACAGAAAATGCATTGTCTCATTTAACTAAGCAAACACCGGGAGTACAAGAGATGAAAGGACGTGAACCATGTTAACAGGACATAGATTTTTCTTACAGCCCCTTTCCTGCTTTCTTCCTGTAGTCAGTATTATCTATCAGGTATAAGGAGACATTATCGTTTTGTGTTCAAGCTGACTAACACTAACATTTCAGGTAGTTCTCAAATGTCTTGTTGAGTTCTATTGTTTCTTGTGTACTATACATTTATTTTTTTAACCAGTTATCATGGTCTGAGGAATGTACTGTTCTGATTGTTCAGGCAACAGTTGTCCCGGGAGTCAGAAATTAACTCCTTGCACATGTCTCAAACAGTTAAGTGAAGCGGAAAATTCTGCCTCATAGAGTATAAGGAGAAGAAGGGTAAATTATGGCCACCAAAGAATCAAAGATGTCCCATGAGATATGTGAGAGTAGAGTTACCCAGAACCTATCAAATATCACACAGTAAAGAGTGCTCAGAGTCAGTCATGGTTGCATGCCACTATAGTCTCAACTATCTGGGAGGCTGAGGGGGGAGGACCACTAGAGGCCAAGAGTTTGAGCCCAATTTGATGAGCACTCCATGTCAAAGAATAAATAAAAATGTTCAGTTTGTGTATCCTTTTACCTATGAGCTATCAACCTGTGCCTGTGGGTTATATCACTTCCAGCTCACACTTCCTCTTTATTAGGCTCTCTATCACTTATCCCCATATCACTTTACCTGTCTGCAGTCTCCCAAGCCTCCCAAAGCTGCTGAGTTATTTTGTAGATACACAGCACGTGTTTCAGTCAGCAAAGCAGAGGCAGCAACAATGGTGAACCCCATCTTGGCCATCTTAGCAAGTATTTACTTTTATAGATAGTCTTGGATGGGCTGCTTTGTCACCAATAAAATTGGTGGTCTATTAATCCATCAGTAAGCTGTGGAGACTGATAGAAACTGTGTACTGGATCAGCCAGGGAAGTCTGAATAAGTCATCTTTAGAGATGGCCTAACAATACATTGATGACCATGCTGGGGAATACAGTGGTGAACAAGTTCAGCATCTTGCTCTTACAGAGCTACCTTACGGTTATTCATTGGTACCCTACCGTCTATGTGTTTTACTAAACATGTATATATACGTACAACCTCAACAGTCCATGTGCATACATCTCAAGGCACTCACGAACATGTTTAGTGATCATCCAAGAAAAGTAATAACAAAAAAGTTCAACAGCCAATAGTTAAATAAAATATAGAGTAAAATTAGTTACTTTCTGTTCCTGTTTAATTTCTCTTGCTACAATAAACACCGTGACCCAAAGCAACTTATGGAGGATAGTTTTAAGGTAATAGTCCATCACTGAGAGATATCAGGGCACGGACTAAAACAGAAACCACAGAGAAATGCTACTCAGTGTCTCATGCTCAGAAAGCTTTCTTTTTTTATTTTTATTACAGTTTATTCACTTTGTATCCCAGCTGTAACCCCCACTCTCATTCCCTCCCAATCCCGTACTTCTCCCTCCCTCATCTCCACCCATACCCCTCCCCAAGTCCACTGATAGGGGAGGACCTCCTCCCCTTCCCTCTGACCCTAGCCTATCAGGTCTCATCAGGACTGGTTGCATTGTCTTCCTCTGTGGCCTGTAAAGGCTACTCCCCTCTCAGAGGGAAGTGATCAAAGAGCCAGCCACTGAGTTCATGTCAGAGACAGACCATGTTCCCCTCAGAAAGCTTTCTTACACAGCCCGTGTCTGCCTGTCCAGAAATGGTGCTGCTCATAATGGGTGAGAGCCTCCCTCATCAGTCAATAGTCAAGACAACCTCACACAAATACAGCCATGTGCCAATTTGATTGAGGCAGTTCTGGGGTGCCCTATTTCCACGTGACTCAAGCTTGTGTCACATTGACAGTAAGAGCTGACCAGGAAAGCTGAGTGTGGTGGTGCACACCTGTAATCCCAGCACTCAGGAAGGAAGAGCTCTGTGAGTTCATGGCCAGCCTGGTCTACAAAGCAAGTCCAGGACAGCCAGGGCTACACAGAGAAACCCTGTCACAAAAAATAAATAAATAACATAAAAAAGAGACAGAGAAAGAGAGAGAGAAAAAGAGAGAGTTGATCAGAACACTTGGCTACAAAGCAGATGTATTAGGAAGCTTATCAAATACAATAGTCTACTCCCATGGCTGTCCTTACTATGAGATGAGCATATAATTCACTGTACCTTCATGAGTTGGCAAAAACCTCACACAAGTCTTCTGTGAGTACTTCTTGTTTGAACTAGGAAAGCACGGGATAAAGGACACATCTAGTGGACGATAAGCCTGAATTGCAGTGCAGGCTCTTCCACTGTGTGCTTTAACCCTGAGAGAAAGAGTTGGCTTTTTCCCTTTTAAGCCTCTACTTTTTTTGTCCCTAAAAGTGCCATAGAGCCACCAGGCTCAAAAATATATCAATTACATTGGAGTTAATAAGATTTGGAAAATACCCTGTCAAGCAGTGGTTCTCAAACGATGCCTTTGGGGACAGCATATCAGATATTCTGCATATTAGACATTTACATTACTGTTCATAAAAGTAGCAAAATTGTAGCTATGAAGTGGCAATGAAATGACTTTATGGCTGGGTGTCACCACAACATGAGAACTGTGTGAAAGGGTCGTTGAACTAGGAAGGTCGACAACCACTGTGTAAAGTATTACAAAACCACGTGACATGTCTTCATGTTGTATTACAAAACCACATGACATGTCTTCGTGTTGTAGGCTTTTTTTTCTTTACTTAGCTGCAACTCTTATATTTTTGTTTACTTTTTAGAAGACCGTTAGGAAACTACACTTTCAGCTGGGTGTGGTGGCGCATGCCTATCACCTTAGCACCCTGGGGAGGCAGAGGCAGGTGGATCTCTGTGAATTCAAGGCCAGCCTGGTCTACAAATAAGTGAGTCCAGAACAGCCAAGGCTACACAGAGAAACGCCGTCTCAGAAAAAAAAAAAAAAATACATTTTCTTCCTAAAATTCCAAAACTCTGTAACAGGGCACAATTAATAAAATCCATCTATCTGTCTACCTTGAGCTATTGCTGGTTCATATTGTTTTGTTAATATCTCTTGGGTTCCTGCTACCGTTATAGTGCATACTTAATCTGAATAATATTAAGTAGCAAATAGGAAATTATCTTGACCCAGATCTATGACAACTCCACATACATTATGCCTGGGAGACATTGTGTACTGCCTTTTATGGTAAGCGTCTGCCCTGTTTTGCATCTCACAGTACTTTTCGTCTAACAGTCAAAGGAGGTCTGGTGAGTTTCAGGTTAGCGTGCTATGTCTAAATGCAGAGGAAAGGAAATTAATTCAGAGGAAAGAAAGACAAGAGTTTCTGTGCTTCACCGCTTGGGAGATCACAGGGTTGTGGATTTAGTACAAAGCAATATAGCGATGCATCGCCAAGTCCATGTGTGATCTCTGAGAGGTTCCTTGAAGAAGCACCTCAGGATTTAGTGGATCTGTATTGAAGTCTGAAATTGTAAATTTCACAGGAGCATGCTTGGAAAAGGCTGAGACTCCCAGTCCATACTCCACACTTTGAAACACAAGGCTGTGCACCACCATCCTTGAAAAACAGTTCAGGTGGTGCACAGAGACAGACAGATTGCTCTGAGTTCACAACTAGCCTGGTTTACAAAGTGAGTCCAGGACAGCCAAGGCTACCCAGAGAAACCCTGTCTCACTGTCTCAAAAAAAAAAAAAAAAAGAAAGAAATAAAAGAAAGGAAGGAAGGAAGGAAGGAAGGAAGGAAGGAAGGAAGGAAGGAAGGAAGGAAGGAA